ATCTGCCGGCAAAGGATTCATCTCCCCCAGGCTCCTTCTGCTCCAGCAATAAGCATGAACTTGCTGCGGTCTCATTTCCAACCTACGTACACCTCCGTTCTTGTATCTTGGTTTTGAGCTGAAATAGCTTTTAATGCAGAGACCTGGAGACCTGCCGCTTGCCTCTGGAGGGAAGACTCAGCCTCTCGGTTCTTTATGTGGCTCCTTCCATCCCCAGAGAGCATCTCCGCAGGGTCGCTCCGAAAGCAGCGCTGCAGGTCCTTGCCCCCCTCTACCCACGCCAACCCCCTTGGGCGAAGCTAGCAGAGTCCGTCCTGCCTGCGTCGCATGGCCCGGCCCCCGCCCATCGCTCCTGCCCGTGGATCCCGAGAGACGTGGTGCTGGCGTCGCCATCCCTCCGCCTCGTGCTGCTCTTACGTCAGCTCCTTCAGGCTGCAGTTCTGCTTCAGCGCCTCTGCTATTTTCCTGGCACCGTGGGCTCCGATGGCGTTTTTCTGCAGGCTGCAAAGGGGAGGAAGGCACCCATGAATATTGGGTGCCACGTCCCCGTCAGTGGCACCTTGGTCTGCTGAGTGGCTGGCAGAGGGGACAGCAGGTCCTGGTCACTCACTGCAGGGTCGTCAGCCTGTGGTTGGTCAACAGGGCCTCGGCCAGGAAGGTGGCACCGTCCTCCTTGATGATGTTGTGCTGCAGGCTGCAAGGAGAAAGGAGCGAAGCCGTGCACGGCAGCCACCGCAGTGGGGCGAGGGGCCGCGCAGGGTCGTGGTTGCCTGCCCTGGCGTTTGCTTGCCCCCGTCCTTGGTGTGAGAAGGGTGTCTGGCCCCCAGGGTCTCCCTCTGTCCTCTCCCATGGGAGATGCCTGCTCCTGTGCACCAGCACCCTGTGGGCTCCTGCACAAGGGATGGACATGGACCTGGACCTCAACCTCATCCTCAACCTCATCCTCAACCTCATCCTCAACCTCATCATCCTCAACCTCAACCTCAACCTCACCCTGGACCCACTGAAGCTGGGAGGCAGGAGGGTCCCAAAGTCTCTGGCCCAGGGCTGCCCCAGTCACCGGGTCTCTGCCGGCTGCACTCGTGCTCGCTGCCTGGCACAACCAAACCGGGTTGTGCCCAGGGTCTCCCCACCTCCTGGCCCTCAAGGTGGGGAAAACCTCGATGGGACAGGAGAGGGCTGGAGGGGGCTTGTCCTGGGGATCTGCTCCCGGAGGTGCTGCAGAAATTGAGACTTACTTCAGGGAGAGCAGGACTTGATTTTTTTTAAGCGCATCAGCCAGTGCTTTTGCTCCGGTGGGGCCGATGGAGTTGCTCCGCAGGCTGGGGCGAGACAGGCAGAAAAGCCAAGGTTAGCAAAGCCGGAGTGGCATGTGCCCAGGTTAAGCCAGATGCCTCCACGTGGCACAATCTCGGGTGGGAGGTGGGACATCAGGCCGGCAGCTCGCAAGAGTTACGTTCACCTCTGGAGCGGCGGTGGCTTTGGGGGCTGGAGACCCTCCCCAGCTCGGTCAGGCCGGGTGGGATCTGGCCCCGCTGCGGCCATGGGAATGGTTCCCGGTGGGGAACGCGTGCGCGGCGGGAGCTGGTGAAGGGGGAACACTTACTCCAGCGCCGTCAGGCTCCTGTTCACCATCAGCGACCTGGCCAACGCTTTGGCTCCCTTATTGCTGATCTGATTTTCTGCCAGGCTGCCCGGAAAAAGAAAAATTGGGTGTTTTTCAGGGGAAGAAAGAGGCTTTCGCAGCCCCTGGCATGTCCCAGGACACAGCTGGGATGGGTGAGCCAAGGAAAGCCATGGGTTCGTGGTACAACCATGCAAAGTGGGGGATGCTCCGAGGTCTGCTCTCCTGGGGTGGACACCAGGCAGGGGATTGCAAGGACAGGGTGGAAGGGGAGTTTCTAGACTTAAAATTCATTCGTGTTGTGAAAAGGGAGCTCAGATCGCAGCGTGGGGGACTCGATGCGCAGCCACGAAGAAGGGCATGGAGGTGGGGAGAGTGGGGACACGTTTGTCTGGGGTGAGGCATCTCCCTGTGCAGGGGTCGGGAACCTGTCCCCTCCGTATGTCAGATGCTCCGTGCGGAGCCTCGGGTGTCCAGCAAACAGCCGTGACCTTGGGAAGCAGTTTGTTGGGATAACCCATGGATTTCTACGCTCATTTTTAGGAACAGCGAGGAGGCAGCAGTCCCAGGAAGGCTGGGCGAGACAGCCTGCCCAGCCACCGCGAGGACACAGGTCACCGTGCCCGGGTGCAGGAGATCATGTGGGGCTGTCCTTGTCACTAGGCACCCTGGGGAGCCAGTTCCTGGAGGACCCTCGCACTGATTTTGAGGTGCCCCCAGCTCTGCTCTGCATCCCCAGGAACAGCCTGTCTGCCCTGGGCCAGGTCCTACCTGAGCTTCTGGATCTGGCAGTCCTTCACACTCAGCACGCTGCCCAGCAGCTCCATCACGTTGTCCTTAAACTGGTTATTGTCCAGCCTGGAGAAGATACAAGGAAAGAGCAAAAGCAAGCGTTTGGAGAACAAAGTGGAGAAAGGACTACGCTCCCATCTGCCCATCACAGGTGGAAAAACTCAAGCACAGAAGCGGAGCTGACCCAGTGCCGTCCCCAGGGCAGCTCTCTGCTGATGGACAATGTTGGTGGGCCCATGTCTCCCATCAACACCTAGGATTTTGAGTCACAGCCTGGCGTCCCTGCTTGCTTCTCCTGGTGCAATCTGACCAGGACTCACCTGAGGTTGTGGCAGAAGAGGAGCTGGGAGAGCAGGCTCTTACAGACGTTGTAGGTGAGGCAGTTGGAGAGGTTTGTCTCCTCCATGCAGGCATCGGAGACCTGCAGGAGATAAGCCAGGGCAGAGCAGTTCACGGGGGTGAGCATCCCGGCCAAGCTCTCGTTCTTCATTGCTTCTTCCACAGTCTTAGCGATCTCCATGTGCTGAATTTCGTACAGGCAGTGCATGGTGTTCACTGTCCGCGAGGAGATGACGTAGTCAGTGTTCAGGCAGCCCTGGAGGAAGCTGATCGCTTGGCTCCTGAAGCTGTTGTGCTCGTCCTTCAGCAGCAGCCACCCAGAGAGCAGCTTGTTCACCTGCGGGGAGAGGAGCCCAGAGAGAAAACGCACAAAGATGTCCAGCTGCCTGTCCTCTGCCTGCAGCGACCTCTGAACGGCACTCTTGAAGTGGTTGAGGAAACCCAACTTGGGCCAGGACATCCCGCTCTCCGTGAAGAGGTCAAATATTGCCCGCTTCGCAGCCGTGTAATAATAAATAGCCGCTAGAAATTCCTGTATGGTTAAGTGGGAGAAGTAGTAAGCTGTGAAGGACTGCATCTCTTCTTTGAGTAGGAGTCGACTGCACAAGCTGCTCTGCAGCAAGGAAAGGTCAATGCCGTACGCTTTCATGTCCTGCTCGTAAAACACGTATTTCTTTTTGAGCAGCCCGTAGAAAGCCAGTCTGCCCAGGCTGCCCACTATCTTCTTGCTGTTGTTCACAGCCTGCTCGATCCTGAGTGTTTCTCTCGGCTTTTCCGGCCGGTCACTGCTCAGAGCCATTTTAAAATAATAGGAGTAGATTTCTGATAGGGTCTTGGGGACGGCGGTTGTTTCTTGGGATTGGTCGGTGCTATTTTTTAGGTAATAAGCGATTGAGGAGCCAGAAATCCAGCAAAAGCCAGGAACGGTGCACATGCCGTGTAACGACCTGTTAGCCCTGATGTGATGCAGGACTTGGTTGGATAGGTCTCTGTTGTCAAGGAACATCTGGTCCAAGAAGTCCTTCATCTCTGCAGCTCTGAAACCTCGTATTTCCGTCATCCGGTCCACAAGCCCGCCGGGGATTTGCCTGGCTGCTGTTGGCCGCGACGTGACCCAGACAGAAGCCTCCTGCAGCAGGTTGCCACGTATAATGTTGGTGATCAGGTTGTCCACTTGGATCTCTTTTTTGGGATCAGTGCATACTACCGTGTTGGAAAAATCCAAAGGAGTCTTGAACTCATCCAAGCCGTCGAGGACCCCCGCCGAGATGCAGTTCGGCTCGGTGATGTGAGGGAACGCCGAGCAGATGAGCTTCTCGGCAGAGAGCTTCTCGTAGGTGTTGAGCTCCCGGAAGGTGAAGGGCAGCACAAAGATGATGTCCCTGTTGATCTCCCCCTTTGCCCAGGTGTAGACAAACAGCTTCACCAGTGTGCTTTTGCCAATCCCGGCCACTCCGATGGTGACAGAGATCCGAGGTGGGATGCTGACCTTGGAGAGAGGCAGGAAGAGCTTCTCCAGAGGGATGCTCTTGGATACATTTCGTAGGCCTTTGGTGGCTTCAATCTGCAGGATGTCGTGCTCCTTCTGCTGGATATCGGTCAAGCCTTCCACCAGCAGCAGGTTCGTGAGTCGCTGCAGGGGACCCGTCTCCAAGCCATTCCCATAGTAGCTTTGGAGGCTCTCCAGGTGCTTCTGCACCATGGGTTCTGCACAGAGAGAAACGAAACGGGGGGGTGAGGAGGAGGAGGATGGTAACTGCAAATGCAAATGAGAGACGCTGCTGCACTTTTCTGCCATGCCCATGCAGAAGGGAAACCGCACGGAGCCCTTAACGTCCGGGCAGGAAGGTATGTGCCAGGGCCCGGGGGGCACTAACAGGCTTAAATGGCCCTGACCAGCCTCACCCATCGACCCAGGAGCCCATTTAAGCTCAGCCCTGGGCCTTCAGCCCCTGCCTAAGCTATGCTGTAGGAGCACTTGTCTGCAGCGCCATCGCACCTGTGCCTGCTATGGACCTTGTTGATCTGGACCTTGATCTTGGATCTCATCGCTCTGCACTTGCCTGGTGACCGCTGGACCGTGTCTGAACCTGGTTGCCCTTGCTGGACCTGATCCTGACCTCTGGATTGACTTCCCGGCTTGACCTCAGCCCTGCCTCATCCCCATGGACTTGTCTGGTGAGTTGGACTCTTGGCTGAACCTGGTGACCATCTCTGGACCTGTCCTGCTCACCTGGCTCGGGTACCACGGCCCCTGGTACAGCGTATTTAAACCCTCCAGCAAAGGCTGGGCAAGCAGGGGGTGGCGGTGCGAGAGATTCAGAGCAGACACCAGCCAAGGTTGGGGCCTTCCAACCAGAAGGGAAACCAGGGAAACCTCTCCTGGCAAGAGGGTTGCAAGGAGAGCCTGAAGATGGTCAAGGATGTCCATCCGTCCTCCTCTGGCCATCCCCCTGTTCCCAGCCCAGCTGCTGGGAGTGACTGGTGTGATCTGGACACTGAGGACATTAAAGACTCCTCGGGCTGCCCAGAGAGGTGTGCTGAGGGCAGCGAGGGGCCTGGAGGAAGGTCCCTCAGATGTGGCAGAGAGCCCTTGTCACCCCCTGGCTGTGTCCTTCCCCAGCGGAGACCCTGAGATGGCACCGTCACTTGCATGGACACTCCCATCAGAGCTGCCAACGCTGCCCAGCTCTGTGCACATCCTGGGGGGCTCCAGCAAGCGCCCACAGCCAGGACATGTGTGCAGACACCCCTCCTTGGGTCCAAAGTGGACTGCCTACCATAGACAGTGATGTGAAGGTAGAGCTGGGAATTGGTGGTCTCGATGAAGGTCTGCAGGGACTGGGAGGCGTAGCTGCCCTTGCCAGCCAGGACGTCCACCACCGCCCTCACCTGCTCGGGCAGGGAGCTCGCCTCCTGCGCCCGGCCGGCCTCCTCCGCCGTGAGGAGGTCCAGCCTCCGCAGGTAGCAAATGATCTCCTCCAGGAACTGCGGCGAGATGGACCTCACCAGCTGCTTGCGGTAGCGATTGATCCAAGCCTCTGCAGGAGAGGAGAGCAGGAGAGTTGGGTCTTGTGCGAGCCCTGGGCACGTTGCTCAGGGGTGATGGGGAAAGGCAGCAGTGGAGCACTCCATCTGACTCTGAAGGTAGCAGGGGGTAAACCAGAGCCCTCCAGAGCGACCTGCCAGAGTCCTCCTCGAGATGATGCCATCCCAAAGTCGTGGCAGGCTGTTTTGTTAGGAGCTGCTTGGTCAAGGCAGCAGCTATCAAAATTGGAGTCAAAGAAAGCGAAGAACACAATCATGAAAAGACATTTCCTCCTGGAATCCAAGCCCATGCAGAGATAAAAGTCTGAGCAAGATCATTTATCTTCGGAGACAGCCATTCCCCTTGTGCCAGCACAGCGGTCCCCAAGCCCTTGGACCAGGAACCGCTGTCAATCCTCACACCTCGGTGCCCCACCTCGTCCCATTTTTGAACCCAAAACTCCACCGAGATGATGGATCTCTGGCTGCCCTGCCACCACTCACCTTCCATCAGAGGCCTCGCGTGACATGGGCGATGCCTGGGCGAGGAGCGCTGTGTTGGCAGCAGCACGGCCGTCCTTTTTTTTCGCCCCCCCCAGCCAGCTCACAGCATCAGTCGAGGCTCCTCAGCCTTTATCCATGTTCCTGGTGGAAGAAGAGGAGAAGCATCAGGAGCAGCGTGGGAGGGAGCCCACTTCGAGCTAACATGGTGCTGACTGTAGTTGAGCCAAGGGTCCATTCATCAGCTTTTGGCTATGACCGGAGTCCCCGGCGCTGTGGACCTGGCAGGGGCAGCGCCGGGACCATCACGCTGCAGCATCTTTGCCCAGACCTCATGTGCCACAAACTCGGTGCCTTTACCACCGCCACTTATGCCGGAGCCTTTCTTTATTATTGCAATTGCATTAATTGCCCCGTGCCATCTGCGGGCCACCTGGCGAGCGCCTGAGTGCCACGCATGTCACCGGATGGAACGCATTTTACCGCTCGCGTTTTCCTTCGCCGTGTTGTGAAGGAAGTTGTGGGGCAGCAGGCAGAGCGATGAAGGGCCTGTTTCGGTTTCGAACCCACCTCGCCGCCGTCCAGAGCCTCCGTCAGGGCTTGCTGAGCGTGGCCAACACCACATCCTGTTGCAGATCTCTGTAGATGCTCCACTTTTGGCAGCACTGGTGAATCATCACCCGGAGAAGGAGCATCTACCTGCTCCCTCCCCCTCGGCTGCTGCCAAACCACACTGAGGGTTTAGTGTGTTATTTTTAAGAAGTGTATCTGCTCACCGAGTCCAATTGTTTTTAGAGCAGAGGTGGAGAAGGAGATACCTCCACACCTGAGAGCGCTCCCGGCTTCACCTACGTTAGCAGATGGCACTCTCCACCAGCCCCAAAGTCATCTCCAGGAGCTGGCCGTGTCCGGGTGGGAACTTCTCAGCTCCAGGTGCCGTCTGATCACGGCAGCGATGCAAACGCAGTGTCCCAGTGCCCTGGCCCGTGTCCTGGCACGGCATCCTTTCCTCACCTCCACCTGGCCTGCAGGATGAGTAGATCCATGCGATCTCCTCCATGCGTGCCGGTCAGAGGCACTGCGAGGAGGGTCCCTGCCCAAACCCACTCCTGAGTGGGACGTGGGCACCGTGGGGGCTTTGGTGCAGCCTCGCCAACAGGTACAGGTAACGCTCGCTTTCTTTGGTCAAACCCAACCTCTTCCAAGGAGAAGGCACAAACGCGGCTTGACCAGGGAGACTTGGTAGAGTCTCTGGTCCATGGTGCAAGGTTAAGGTGCTTGGGACATCCCTTTTGCAGACTCCTCCCTTCATCCTCCTGCCAGGTGACCTGTGCTGAGGTTTATTTCTCCCACCAGAAGACGCAAGGGCTCAGCCACCAGCAGCAGCCCAGCCGTGCGGCTGGTGGCCGGGCTGCAGGAGGGAGGACCAGGCACAGCTTCTCCCAGGGCTGCGTCCCTCACAGATCCCACCGGCTGGACCTCTCATCGAGACCCCTTCGCAGCACGTCCTACGGAGCGGGGTAAGTGTCCAAGAGGCGCTGGGTGAGAAAGCACCAGCCCATCCCTGCCTGCCCGGGTGGTTTCACACGTGGCTTGGACAAGCCCTCGTAGGGGTGGGGGGTGCTGTTGTAGCTGGGTGTGAA